ANTATTATACATCTCAANTCTATTTACTGTGTAGCAAAATTTTTCACTAATTTATTTTTAAACCTCTCTTCAAGCACTTTTTTTATTGTCTCCTGTAATTAATATAATTTTTAATATAATTAATATAATTAATTAATATAATTTTTAATATAATTAATTAATATAATTTTATATCTTTACACTGAAACTCCACCTGGCTCTCTTATGTCTTCCCTGACCTGCTCCTCTCATAGTTTATTTAAAAATTAAAAACAGTTAATACATATTTCAATAAATTAAATGAAGACCTCACCACAGCTTCTTCACCTTTCTTCAACATCATTCTAGAACTGCTGTTCTCCTAAATATCTAAATAATATAATATAATATAATACAATATAATATATAATTACACGTTAAGTGGTCGAGTATGATCAGATGTTGCTCACTTTAAATAATAAAAAGGCTAATTTCGTTGCTGTTTCAGTCTCATTCTAAATCATTGTGACTAGACTAGCTAACTTTTAAACAAAGTTAGCAGTAAAATTTTGGACATGTGACTATCCCAGAATTAAAACGGCTTAACCTAAAAGATTTAGTTCTATATATGAAAGTAAACTGACAACAAGATGTTATAACCGAGCGATATTCATGGCAACATTCCTGACAGACAGTTTACCTCCTTCAAACGGAGTTTCTGACTCCGTCTGCTGCTGCCTTTACTCTGAGCCGTTCAGAGGGGGGAGGGGCAGGAAGCGCTCTGCTGAATGCGCTGTTGTGCGCCTTCAAAATAAAAGCACGCGAGTGGAAGATTTTAAAATTCTTCGCAACTGCGGTGAAATTATTGGGGGGGACGAATGTGACTCTCTCCAATATTGGGGGGGACATGTTCCCTCCGTCCCCCCCGCTTCCTACGCCTATGCTTGAGGCATTGAAGGTCAAAAGTTATCCTACGATTTTTCGTAAATCAAAGCATGTGGGCATGGCTAGGTGTCTAAATCCAACTATTCGCCACGAAACATCAAGGTACAATAACTTCAACATACAGTGTCACAACTGCATCAGACTTTTTATGTGTCACTACAGACCAGCCCTCATCACATTTACATGGTCAATTGATGACATCACCTTAGCTCCGCCCACTTCCAACAGGAAGTCACTTGTTTTTTCTGCTGAATGTCTTACTTTTACTCTTTCATTTATATACTTTTAAACCTGTGCCAAGTGACAAAATGACATGATGATGAATTCTGTTAATGCTGGCTGAACCATGTGGGTATAGTCAAATGGTTAAATTCAATCTCGCCGTATGCATACGAACGGTTATCTCTAAATTATACATGCATCATCCAATTTGCACCAAACTTTTTATGATTGACTTTTGCGAACCTCTAAAGATCTATCTATCATCTATATCTCTTCATCACATCAGCCGATCTGCACCAGATTTTTGGTGCATCATCACCCGTCCACTATTATCTAGTGGACGGGTGTGGGAACTGCGCGAGAGCAGCGATGGTGGTAAGGGGAAGGTGTTGCTGGACCTCCTGCAGTCGCTGTTAGGCCTGAGCGGTGCTGAGCTGTGAGGGCCATTCAAGGTTGCTTGCAGCTTTAATTTGTATATTTAAGTTATCTTGTTCCTACTTGTTTATTTTATTTATTTATTTATTTTGCTGAAGACAATTTTTATATTCTGTTCTTTCTATTGGTTCTAAATTCTGCAGACCCTCCTGACTTCCAATAATAACTTATTTTTATATAGATTGGAAGAAACAACACACTATTAATATACCATCCCCACCTAAAATATTAGTTTCTGGAGTTTTTTTTCTACCATCTCTTTTAAACTACAGAATAAATTAATTAAAATCTGAATAAATTAAGTGTGAACCATGTTTAATGCTTACAATAACAATGTTACACCTAAGATGTGAAGATATGTTTCTACGTAGATTCTTTTGTATAATTTTTAAAGATGCACAAAGGAATTTGTTGAAATGTTTCTCTGTTTGATATGCCCAAACTGGAAATTCAAAAAAGCTTTTTTCTTCTTCTCCTGATCAGTAACCACACCATAATTACATTGCATTGACAACACCCTTCAAAGTTACTTTGTCAAAAAACAGTTATTTTTTATACTTAATGAGGTGTTTAAAAATGAAATCAAAGGCTCTTTTGGTAATTCTTACTTTGCTGACTACACTAAAGCTAATTCAAGATGCTACGCTCCATAACTATTGTCTTTTTCAATAAAGATATTTTTTTAACTACACTCATATCTTTATTATGGGTGGGAATTGGTATCTGATGAGAATCAGGAGCAAACGGTGCATCTCTAACTTTTTGTTGCTGATTTACTTGGACATTTAAATGCTAAGAAACCACAAATACTCTGATGCCATTTGTATGCACATCTGACCCTCTATCTTCTGAAACTGGGAATGGCCAGAGTACTTTCTGTCTCACGGTAGCAGCT